TTTCCAGCAGCAGGACACTTTGGATACAATAAGACTTTGGAGCTGATATCTAGGGATTTTTGGTGGCTTCAAATATGGAAGGCAGTCAAAGATTTTGTACAATCATGTGATATTTGTTCAAGATCAAAAACTCCTCATCATCAACCTTTTGGACTTCTTCAGCCATTATCCATTCTAAAACAACCATAGTCTTCTGTTTCTATAGACTTCATCATAGATCTTCCAAGCTCAGGTTTTTATGATTCTATATTTGTGATAGTAGATCGCTTCACCAAGATAGCACATTTTGTGCCATGTACAAAATCCATCACGAGTGAAGAAACAACTAAGCTTTTTATTGACAATATCTATCGCTATCACGGGTTACCAAAGGATATTATATCGGATAGGAGAACTCAATTGTGTCAAGATTTTAGAGAATCTTTTTCAAGATTTTAAAAGTGGATATAAAACTATCTTCGGCTTTTCATCCTCAAACTGACAGACAGACAAAGTGCGTAAATCAAGTCTTGGAGCAATATTTAAGATGTACCATCAACTATCAATAAGATGATTGGACAACTCTTCTGTCATTGGCAGAGTTTGCTTATAATAATACAGTGCATTCTTCTACATCACAAACACATTTTTTTGCCAATTATGGTTATCATCCATGACTTGACACATTTGATTTCTCAAAAGTTGATAATCTTGTGGCAAAAGATATGACAAATCGGTTGTCAGAGTTACAATCAACAATGAAGGTGCAATTAAAAGAAGCTCAAGAATGACAAAAGATAAATCCGGATGTATATCAAAATGAATAACCACCATTCGACTTGGATGATAAGGTATGGCTACTTCATCGCAATATCAAGACCACTTGTCCTTATGACAAGTTGGACTATCAAAGGCTTGGACCATTTTCTATTTCTACACAAATCAATTCAGTTGCATATCATTTACATCTATCGGAGTCAATGAAAATCCATCTAGTATTCCACGTGTCTCTTCTTGAACCATACAAGATAGTGGACATATCGAGAAGATGACAAGCTCCACCTCCTCCTATAGAAGTGGACAATAATGAAGAATTTGAAGTAGAAGAAGTCTTAGATTCAAGGCGGCGTCGAAATAAATTAGAATATCTTGTCCATTGATATGGATATGATATTAGTGAATGCACATGGGAGCCAGTAAAGAATCTTACAAATGCAGCTAAGGCGATGGAAGCTTTTTATCGATAAAATCCATCAAAATCAAGATGAAAACCTTGTTTTTAAAAGAAACAACATCTAGGCAAGATTACATTCTACTTTCAATTCTTGTTTGTAGCTTCTTTATAGTTGTTACGCTCAAGAGATGGAGAACCAATAACCAACGGATTCCACTTAAGAGCCTTCATTTACTGATCTACCAGACAAGACATTACAATTGTCACAACCTTCAAGACGACACAATCGAGATGAAGATCTTCAAGAATGACATGTTCTTCTTCAAATAGATGGCGAGATACAATGCGTTTTGTATCACGACTTGGGAAGGGACTTCCGATGTTTGGTGATTTTACTAGAGGTAGGAACAACTCTTGATGGTGTTCCAAATGTTCTATTTGAAGGAAGTTATGAAGGCCTCAACAATGATCAAATAATTGGGTGGTCTTCCCGCCCTAGTATGAGATACTATCGATGGTTGAGAGGCCATATCAATCATCTTCGAAGAGAATAAAGATCAGAGTATGTGGCAAATACAATTCGTCGCATCATAGATTTTCTCAACATATGATGACCATTCCTCGTGAAACTCGTCCCTAAAAGGGAAGGTAATATCACGGACTTACTAATGTAAGCCAATAATTACATATATAAATAGATAAAAGTAAGTAAAAATAGATAAAAGTGAGTTAATTCTATAGTATTTGATATGGAAGCTTCCTAAAAGCTTCATAGACATTGCTTTGACTTTATAGGTGTCTTTAATTGATTTTTTGGATTAAAAACGTGGTCAACAAGTTGACCATGTGCCATACATGTTGTTAGCTTGAAGACCAAGCTAACAATGTGGCCTACACATAGAAAAACTTGTCTTGTAAGTCAAGGCATGTGTCCTACAAAGTCAATACATATTGGAGGTCCTATAGAATATTGCCATGTAGCCCCTAGTTAGATAGTATATATAGAGACAAGAGTGAAGCCTTCTTCACTCTTGTCAATTCCTTTCTTATTTCCAGTCTAGTTTCAAGAATCTTCATATTTTCTAATCTTTGGGAATAGCCATTCTAGTTCAATATATTATCACCTTTGAGTGATTTTTAAGTATTTTTGAATGACATAAGAGTTTATTGAGATTATCTTTCTTTGGAGTTCATGTCCTTGATACATGGCTAATTTATACTAAAAATCACTAACATATATAATACATGGCCAATTTATTGGCCACATTTTCAATCTAAGAATTATCAACAAATACATATAAAGTCAAATTTGCATCTATAAAGCTTTCAAGAAGCTTTTTTATAAGATGTTATTTAATTTTCTTACTTCAATTTACTTCTATCTAATTCTTTTAATTTAAATAAATGTACATGTATGTGATAACTACATATGTGATTGTTAGATGAATATTGAATTTGCACATTACAGAAGTTAAATGTTGTAATTTGAATATTATAAATTATTACATAAACATATTGCACTTTAAGTCCTTCATGTAATTATTAATAATTTTTTATCTTTTAATGGAAGATATATTTTTACTTCTATTTTATCTTTTATATTTAGGTATTTTTTAGATTTGTATAAAAAAATGTTGTAGTAGTAATTGCTTTTAGAGATTTTTCTACCTAATATATTGTATATTTAAAGACCATGTTGTATATAGCAACTCAAATTAATAAAGGTGGTGTATTAAGGACGTTGTACATTAAGTGGATTACAACATGAAAATAAGTAGTTAAAGATTTTAATCTGCGTCAAGGCCTAGAAGTGATATAAAATAATAAGGTGATTATCTTATATCAATAGTGTGCATAAAGGATAATTCTACCAAAGCATTTATATCAATGGAAGTTTGTGAAAAAACTTTATTTTTGTTAAGCATTTTGGATAAGTATTACAATATGTAAGACAAATATTTTTTAACATAGTATTTGCTATTTAATTAGGTTATGAAGAATTCAAAGCTATCATTATATTATCATTAAAAAAAGCTATATAATCTCAATTTATATTATATCTCATAAGCCTTCAAAAAAAATACGAACAATCATTGATTTTGAAAATAATTGGTAAAGTTGTTTGAATTAGAAACTAATCTTTGTTTTGAATAAAGATCAAGAGAAGTTGAATTTTCTTTGTACACACTTAGCACCTTATTGACATTTTTTTTTTTTTTTTTTTGTTTTTTTGTTTTTTCTCCTATTAAGTTTGATTTATTAAACTTCAAAGATCTTAAGTGGAAACTTATTAGAGGAGCTCTAAAGAAAAAAGAATAAATATTTTTGAGGTTCAAAGAAAGTTTTTAAAAGGTTTTTAGTCTTAGCTTCTTTTTAGACAAAAAAACACAAGTGTATTAGAGTTTTATTTTAAAAAAAAAAGAAAAAAAAAGAAAAAAAAAAAAAAAAAAAAGAAGTAAAGTTTCAAATTTAGAATTTATTATTACTTTTTAAAGCATAATAGAAATCTTTTGAAAGTTATAAAAAAATTAGCAAGAAAGATTAGAAAGCTTGTTTTTTAGGTTACTATTTTCATTTAAGAATTGATGAATTTAGTTATCTATGAAAAATTGAGGTAGTATTTGCATGGTTTATAATATACAATATCAATTTTCTTTTTTGAAATTTAATTTTTACTATAATAATATAGGATAAAACAACCATCTCGTCCAAAAAAAAAATATAACATGATATAAAATGATCTTAACTTTTTAAATAGTCAAAATTATAATAAAATAGAAAAAAATTATATATTTAAAATATTTTATTTTATTTTAATTTCTTTAAAATAAATAAATGTTTATTTTATAATTTTAGAAATACAAGTAAATAATAATATTTTTTTTGGGATCTTCAAAACAACATTCAAAACACACAAAAATACTAGACACAAAATCCTCTTTGTAAATTGAACTTGAAATATGGATTGAATCTTTAGGTGAAACATGTGCAAAAAATGAACTCATATCTTGTGCACTTTTTGGATTCAAGTATAGATGCCTAATTGAGACTTTGACTTATTTATTAATTCATAAAACTATATATATATATATATATATACAAATTATTTTCAAAGAAAAATAAATCGACTCTGAGGAAAGAAGGAATTTATGCACATGATACACATGGGTACCAAAACATGGCGGTCAAAGAACATGTTATATTATTATTCCCGGTTTCACATTAGCCATGCTGAATGGGGGTGTCGAAACTGCCCCTGCAGAGGAGGGCGGTTACCGGTATCCATGGGTGTGGTGATTGCACCGAGGAGCGCGGAATTGGGTCCAAATGGCTGAAGAGCAGTTAGGGGCAACGGCTATGGGGGGGACCCCATGACAACCGGCACCGATGGTGCCGGCCGCGGGAAGCGCCGGTCACCAGACCCGGGATTCGCCGCCCCCGCCCACGCTGTTGCTCCCTGCTTCTCGCATCAATTTGCCGCTGCCGCTCCCTCGGCCTCTGCGCTCCCTCCCCGCTCTTAATTTGTTGTTGTTGTTGCTACCGCTGCTGCTTCAGCAAGCCACGGCCTCTGTCTTCGCCTCTCTGCATGCAATCTCTCGCTGCTCTTGTGACCAGCTATCATCTCAGTCAGGCTTGGCGGCAGTGGACAAGTGTTGAAGACGTTTCCTCCCCCTCGGAGATCATCCTGCACTTCAGATTGCGTCGCTCTGCGTCCAGATTTGCCAGGCCCGAGCATGTGAGAATCGGCGTTCGGCCGGGACGTTGCGCAGAGGTGTGATATCGTGGGCGTTGTTGTTGGATTCGATTTGCGGATTATGGCCTTGAGAGGATGAGTGATGGCATGGATGAATGTGGGTTGATTGTGCGGATTGTGGAGCTGTTTATTTTAGGGTGTGGGCACCATGTATTTGGGACTGATTTTGATGGTAGTTGGTGCTCGGGGGTGAGTGATGAGCTTGGTCGTGATTATAGGATCCTTTTTGGACAGGGTCTAGAGAGACAGTGGCAGACTTGGGTTTGTGAGTTGTGTAGTTTGAGTGAAGTTTTTTATCGATTGTACGCATCGTTGGGGAGATCATGGCGAAGTTTGTGGTAGATGGTGAGTGAGAATTTGTTTTGAGGTCCTCCAATAGTGCCGAACATTGGTTTCTTTTGGAGGATTACCCAAATGGAGAGTTGAAGAGAAAGGGGATTCAACGCAAAGTGCACGCTTGTGGTTACTTGGTATTCTACACTTGTTTGAATACTCGGAGTGGAAGTTTTGTTCATGCTTTTCATTGTGCGTTTCGTACCCGATCGTTGTAATTCTCTCAGATTAGATCGTATGTTTGCTCCTGCTTTTTGGTTTTTGTTTTTTGTTTTTTCCGGACAAGTGCATTATACCAACAGCATGCTTATCTGGACATTCAACTGAAAAGGAGATTAGGTTTTTGAAGTGCGTTTCTTACTCCAAAACCGTTCTATAAATTACGTTTGTATCCTATGTTCGTTCTAACGGAGCTCATCATTTGGATCATGATCAGGATTTTCACCTAAAGAACTCCAAAATGCATTACTGTCCGCACTTGGGATACGGGATCAAGCCGGGAATATTGGCATAATTGGGGAATTTCAAAGGCATTGACAGGTTTCTCGAGTAGGAAGAGATGACGTTGATCAGAATGCTGCAGAAGTAGTAATCAACCATGAAATGACAGCATGGACTGCTCATTCTCTTCCTTTTGTCCCTCCACTCCGAAGTTAAGGTTAATTGAGCATCAAAGTGGCTCATCCCTCGTCATATCCAGCAGTTTATTATTGAAGTCGGTGATTTGGTTCACATCGCGTTCAATGCCGTTTGTTACCGCTGTTCAGACACGGGCTATAATCCTCTAAACCCTGAGCTGTGACTTAGACACAGCTAGGGTGATGGGGACTGGAAACGGCCTTGAGAGTGAGTGGCTTGAAGAGGACGTCACCGTGGACGAGAATGAAGCAACGCAGGCTGTACAAGTTGCTTTAAACATTCGACCTCTCATTCCACTAGAGCGTGTTCAAGGCTGCAAGGAGTGTATATCAGTTGTTCCTGGTGAACCACAGGTAGGCACTTGGTTGATCATTCCTATCCTTTCCAGGGTCGTATAATTTTTGCCCGGACCTGCACTAATAATTAGGGCTTGCGGATCTCTCACATATTTATCTGGATGCTTCAGAAGTTTTCGTTCTTCGAGAATTATTCGGTCAATTCTTGTAATTCACCTCTTCGCAATCGGAGGTTATTGTATTGCACAGTGCTCAAAATTGAAGTATTTCTTTTGCATTTGAGTGCTTCTGTAGTCAAAATTCAGGTCACAGTGAGCTGTTAGTCCCTCTATTGACCTTGAAGAGATATTAACACTAGTTTTTTTTGTGGCAGGTTCAAATCGGTCATCACTCTTTCACCTTCGACTACATTTTTGGTAGTTCTGATACACCGTCTTCAGCAATCTTTGACAAGTGTGTGAAACCGCTGGTTGAGGGGTTATTTCACGGCTACAATGCCACCGTCCTGGCATATGGGCAGGTTGGTTGATATTGGGTACACGCCTTGTGCGCATTAGTGCCTTATGGTTGAATCATACATGCGTCTTCTGTGCTGTTTGATAGTTAATGTTTTAGAATCGCAAGGTCTCTTTCTCATCCAATAACGACTAACGTGAGTGAGTCCCAAGAATTCGATTGACTTAAATATAGGTCAGGAATTATATTTCATGTGTTTACTCGTGGCGTTCGTTTTCCTTTCATCGCAGACAGGATCTGGGAAAACTTACACCATGGGAACTGGCTACACAGTTGGAGGCAGCACTGATGGGGTCATACCACAAGTTATGCAGACAATTTTTAAGAGAATTGAAACTCTCAAGCACAAGGCTGATTTTCAGCTTAGGGTTTCATTTATCGAGGTGTGTTTTCTCTATTTTTTAACTTCCGGAGTTTCTTAGAGTTTAGGGCTTGTACCTTCTTAAAATCTCAGGTGAGTCTTACATCTACTAGCTAAGATATGATCTTATTTGAGCAAATGGTTAGATTTTTCGAAGGATCTTAGTTAGAAATACATGGATTTCGGTGTGCAATGCTGCAGTAGCGGGTGCCGAGAATCTCTTGTTAGATTGCTCTTTGTTGCTTATGAACCCCCTCAAGACAACTGTCCTTGTGTACATAAGTGTTCAAATTTAATACGTCGTCGTAATTTGTTTACACCAAGTTTTTGAATCCAATGATTTCAACACCAATATTGATTATATTATGTCTGGTGTTATTTACGTGTAGATACTCAAGGAGGAAATTCACGATCTTCTGGATCCAAATCCTCCATCAACAGAGTACATATTTGGGGGAGGGTTAAAAGCATTAGCTGTAGGCAAACCACCCATTCAAATTCGGGAGACCACTGCTGGAGGAATCACCTTGATGGGCGTGACAGAAGCTGATGTGAAGAGTCTGGAAGAAATGGCGGCTTACTTAGAGCATGGCTCTCTTAGTCGTGCAACTGGAAGCACGAACATGAATTCCCATTCTAGGTCATCAACTGCTTCTGAACACTGTGGGACTACTATATGAAAGAGACATGTTAATTGGCTTGATCCATTGGCTGTCAGTTAAATAATAAGTTGGCACCTCATACAAACGTTTTTGAATCACACTCTGAATTAAGATCAAATTCATACCTGGGTTTTTTAGTGGTTGTTGGTGTTTGAGATTCTACTTGTCCTATCGTGCTTCTTGTAAAACTAGTGGCTTAGGGTGGTGAGGGCTGCATTTGCTGTGTCAATCATTAGGATCCTGATCATTTAAGTGTCTTATTGGTAAGAAAATGTAGTTCGTGCTCTAAAGAGCGTTTGGAAGGATGTAGATAGCATCTCTGGTTCAGCTGCCAGGAGTGTGTGTGTTCAAATGAAGGTTCTGGAAGTTGCAGTGCTCGTGTTTATTGCCACTGGCATGGTTTTTTCCGAAACAGGCCGTTTGGATCTTACGTTTCTATTTTAAAGGTATCGTTACTCATAGGTATCTCTTCTATTAATGTGCAGTCGGTCGCATGCGATATTCACTATCACACTAGAGCAGCGACGAAAATGGGATCCGCTTCCTGATGGCGGAAATCCTTCACCTGAGGATTGTAACGAAGATTATTTATGTGCGAAGTTACATCTCGTAGATTTAGCTGGTTCTGAAAGAGCAAAGCGAACAGGGGCTGATGGTCTTCGTTTCAAAGAAGGTTACCAGACATTACCCTAATAATTATTGTTGTTACTATGTCTTTCTTTTCTTCTTTTTACAATCTCGAGGTGTTCGATATCCTTTTTTTTTTTTTTTTTTTTTTTTTTTTTGGGGCCCCTCGCTGTGGGTTATAAAGCGAGCCAGCCCCACATGCATATAGATCCTAGTTCCTGAGCCAAGACAAATTTCGCTGTTTAATTAACTGTCGGTATGTTTGGTACGAATTATCTCAGGTATTCACATAAACAGAGGCCTTTTAGCACTTGGAAACGTGATCAGTGCACTAGGTGATGAGAGAAAGCGAAGAGAAGGAGGTCATGTTCCTTATAGAGACAGCAAGTTAACTCGATTACTTCAGGTATGAATTTGTCAATTTTTGCTTGGAAGTCTGTACGTCAAGGGGACTTGGAGTAGTTTTCATAGGTTTATGGCTGAAATTTGATTTTGAGTTTCTGAGTTCTTTCTGCTGGTTGCAGGATTCTCTTGGGGGAAATAGTAGAACGGTCATGATTGGTGAGTATTCTGATGCAAACAGCCACATTGCATGGAGGTTTTTGTTAATGTTCCTAGTTTATCATGTTCCAAAATGATCCAATTTGCAATATTTTTTTTTGTCCTGCAGCCTGCGTAAGTCCAGCAGATGTAAATGCTGAAGAGTCGATCAATACCCTCAAGTATGCTAATAGGGCTCGTAACATTCGAAATAAGCCTACAGTGAGTACCTAGTCTGTTGTGAGATCTCTGTGGTATTTGTTTGAGTATTTATGATATCAATTGCTTTTATATTAAATACTTGATGTGCTCATCTTTAATAAACAGTGATATTATCAAGGAATGTATTTGAATTTGGGTATTCTAACAGAATGGACAATTTTCGTGTGTTTAGGTCAATCGTGATCCACTTGCAGCTGAGATGCAGCGAATGCGACAGCAACTTGAGCTTATGCAGGCTGAGCTTGTATGTGCAAGGGCAGGAGGTCCTTCAAACGCCGAAGTCCAGGTACATAATTTTTTTTGTTCCTTCCAAGCTTTGGAGGTTCCTGTTTAGCAAGCCTCTCTGGATCACATTTTCTTTGTTTGCTTTGCGCGGCTAAAGAGCTGGTGCTGATAAAATGGTTTTAAATTTTACAGATGTTGAAGCAAAAGGTTGCCTGGCTTGAAGCTAGCAACATGGAACTGGGGCGTGAGTTGGAAGAGGCGCGCGATCGCATTGATATACTTTCTCAGTGCGCCCTAGAATCACAAGTAAGCTGTGTGTTGTTTTACTGTCATAATTGTTAAGTCCTTAGAGGTCTTTGTACTGTATTTTATCACAATTGATGCATCTGAAGGTGTCTGGTTGATGAGTCACCTTTGCAATAGACTTTTGTAATATTTTGGTGTACAGGTAGAGCGTGACAAGCTTAGGATAAAGCTCGACCAACTTCGAACTGGAAAAACTTATGAGGATATCGATGAAGGACAACATGTGCAGGTGCACCTTTCTTTATGTACTTTGACTTAGTTCCTATTGTGGTTTAGGCGAATATTGCTTATGTCCCTTGACAATTGACTTTGATATGGTTGTGCAGACGGATAATCTGCTGAAAGAGTACGTAGTTAGGATACAGGAATTAGAATGTGAGCTACAACAACTGCAGCACGCTAGAGCTCCGTCAGACACCTCCTCTAAGGCTCCTTCCTCTACATCATCCAGGAGCAGAGGAGAGAGTACAGCTGGACCAGGTTTCGGTGTTGCAGGCATTGATGGGGATATTTATCTACGAACTGGTATAAGATCATGAGTCGCTGCTCTTTTGCTTGAGATGTAGATAATCCTTTTATCAGTGCCTTGCCGTGTGCATGTTTGTTGGTGTTGGTGTTTTCATCTTGTGAGGTTCAAAATCATGTGTAGAAGGGGTCAACATACTGGTCATCATACCATAGTTTCATAATATTGTGATTGGAGTGCCTCTTATGAAAGGATTGCGTTTGCAGGTGAATTTTCGGGGGAAATTGATACTGAGTTGTTGTTGAAAGAGTTTAAACGCACATCGGTGCAAGATAATTTTGACAAAGAGTTACGGGAAATAGACAAACGTCTTGAGCAAAAAGAGGTGAAGAGATCGCTTATTGAGAGAGTTGCTTCAAGTGAATTGTTTACCACAGAAAGGAATTACAGTTCCCCACCTTGCTCCTCGCATTTTAGGACACCTTTGCATATTGTGAATATTTCAAGAGCTACCTATCGTATTTTTGTAATTTGATATTTTGGGAACTCGAATTCTGAAAAGTCCTGTAGAAAAAGGTTCATTAATCTCCTTTTCTGTTACTGAACTCAGCATCATGGAATTTTTTGAAATCATGCCACTTTCTCAATCGTTGTCCGGTTTGTGTTACAGGCGGAGATTAAGTTATTCGTTCGACCTGACGCAGTGTACCTGAAGGAACACTTCGAAAAGAAATTGGTGGAACTTAAAGAGGAAAAGAAGTATCTGCAGGTAAAGCTCTGCTCGTGATCCTGAATGGCAAGTTGATTTAATGTGGAGTATGTGGTTGTGCCGTTACTAAGGGTGTGGAAATATTAAATGGACGAGAAATTCTAGAGTCTTAGCAGATGATTCCAGCTTATCGCAACACTTAACTTTGCAGCTGGGGAGGAACAAATTAATGAAGGAGGGTATGAGTGAATGTGTGCCTCAGACAAGAATACACTGAAGTTTTAAGAGGCTTTCTTGCAGAAATTGAAACAACTAAAGGTCCAGGTACGATGTGAACCCTCGAAACCCTCTCGCCAAGGCGCCGCAAGAAAGCAAATATCAGCAGCAGGTCTCCTTTCGAGCTTGGTATATGTTTCAGTGGCGTTGAGTTCTCCTGTGTTGTCATTGGGAGCAGATCGCAGCCTTGAAAAGTAAGCAAGAAGTCTGGTCTCAGTGCCTTGGTCATCAGCAATTTATCGATGGAGATGCCAAGTTGAAGACGGAAAAGGTTGAAGTTGTTATTCTCAATTCTACATCCTTCAGCAGTCGAGGGAGTTATAGTGAGTGTTTTAAGTAGAACTCTAGTTTAAGTGAATTTTGCACAGAAGACCTCTAAATTTTTTCTCTGAAGGTGGAGGGGCAGCAAATTTCAGCATTCTGTTGCCCTGTGAAAATGCATCGTCATGGGATTGGTAGGATGCTAAGATACCTGTCACCACACCTTCATGGAGAAGTAACTCGCGATCTCCTCTGGCAACAGTTAGCTGAGCCGTTATCTTCTTTGACTTACTACTTTCATATAGCGACAGCTTTGTGTCCTCTTTTTCAACCACAATCGAGCGTCAAACCCCAACCCAGTGAGAGTCTTCAACCACACTTCTAAACCCGGTGAAGTTATAGCTCTTGTTCACAGCTCTTACTACGATTGTGGAACTACCGTTGTTGACTCATACACTGCTGCAGCCACATTACTAAAGTTTCCCTCGGGTAGATGTTGAGACTCTAGAGACGAGCGAATGTTTGTTCGAGGCATTTCCACGCGCACAGAATTTGCTGGTCTGTTGTTTTGAATTGCATGCTCCACTTATACTCTCTGACCTGTGAAATTGTGTCATCTCTAGGCGTATGTGCAGCACGAGGTCGAAGATGAACCTCGAGATTTGCAAATGTGGAGGATCACCACAGGACTGAGGGGCTTTTTTCAGGTCAGTGCTGCGTTATTCATATATTTCTGATCTCTATAGAAGTTGGACTCTTCTGTAGGGGTGTATGCCGTGGAACTTCGTATAAAGTCTGGTGTATTCTCCAGAAGAGTTTGACTGACGAGACATCATTGTGCGCAGAAGCAACCGTTCATCAAGCTGTGTCTTCTTCCCGCAAGCCTTGCCTGTTGCAGCCTTTTCTGGTTTAGGATGCAGTACAGTCAGAAGAGTAGAACCAGTAGAGGACACTCGTCTGGCTCTGTAAACAATAGAGCGTCCAGGAGTAGACTGCAGCCAGCCCAGAGTCATATGACACCAGTATGAATTCTTAAGAAAATTCAGCTTTGCAGTTTCCTATTACTCTTCTGTAATGGCTGCGTGGAATCGATCATCTATTTTCTACTGAAGTCTCTACTTGGTGGGCCTTAGTACACATACTGATTCAAGTCTACACTGCTTCTGCTTACAAAAAATTGGTACTGAGTGCTATGTTAATTATTGAAATTAGTTCAACGGAGATATAAATGGTATATGAAAGTAGGATCAATCGTGGAACGTTTTGAGTATCTTCTCAATATGTTAAGAATAAATCTTACTTTTACCTTGTAAGCGTAGAAGAATGAAGCACTGAATGTGTCATGGAACCTTCATCCTCAAGAGATTTAAAATTTAAAGATTGTAGAACACAATGCTTAACTTTTAAAATGAGATCTGAGTTCTCAGTCATTCTGCTTGTTTAAAAACAATTGTAGCTTAAATTGAATTTAATCAGTTGAATACAATTATTTTTTGTTACTTTTTGTTCGTTTGTTTATTTCTTATACATAAGGAGAGGATTCCTCTGCCATTTATACCAAAGTAGTGCAGATTCTTTCTTAGAAGTATCTTGTCTTATGGTGATTTCTAATTTTATGCTGAAGTTTGGAAGCAATATCCATTCTATTTAGTAATTTGAATTTAAGCTACAAGATGCAATTTCAAAGCAATGTTTTGTCAAAATTAACATTATATTCTTTAAGGAGACAAATCCTTCTTCATAAGAAGTCATTTGAATTAAATCTTAATCTATAAATAGGACAAAAGAAGATTAGAAGATTGATATTCATGAATTATGCATAGATACAACATTAAGGATTCTACAACATAAGTATTATTTGACGGCCATTTAAAATAATATCTTTAGGAATTTTTTAAAAAATATAGGTATGTATTCTTGTGTCAAGGATATGAATCTTGACAAAAGAAAATCCTTAATATACTCATATACCATTGAAAGGAGCTAGAAAGTCATTCAAAGATGATATAATATTAAACTAGAATAGCTATTGCCAAAAATAAGAAGACTAGAAAGTCTTAGAATAAGACTAAGGACTAAAAAGGCATTGATAAGAATGAAGAAGGCTTCACTCTTCCCTCTATATATACTCTTAATTAAGAACTACGTGGCAATGTCCTATAGGACTTCCAAAACGTATTGACTTTGTTAGCCACATATCTTAACTTGTAAAGCAAGTTATCTAGGTATGTGCCACATAGTTAGTTTGTTCCACAAGCTACTACATGGAGTTAATTTGTTCCACAAGCTACCAACATGTGATTAACTTGTTGGCCAAGTTTCTGTCTTATAAATACATCTAAAGTCAAAACCGCATTTATAAAACTTCTACGAAGCTTCCTTAGAAAACTTTATGAAATTAATCTATATTTTCCTACTTCTACCTAATTATATAAGTAACTATTGAGATAAATATATATATATATATATATATATATATATATATATTCGTGACATTATCCCTTCTTTTAGGAACGAGTTTCACAAGGAACGGTTTTCATATGTTGAGGAAGTCCAAGATGCGGCAAATTATATTTGTCACATACTCCACTCTTTGCTCTCTTCGAAGATGGTTGATAGGCCCTCTCAACCATTGATAGTGTCCCATACTAGGATGAAAAGACCACCTTATTATTTAATCATTATTGAAGCCTTAATAACTTCCTTCAAATAAAATATTTGGAATACTGTGAAGAGTTATTTCTACCTCTAATAAAATCACCAAATAGCAGAAGTCTCTTCCAAGGTCGTGATACCAAACACATTGTATCTTGCCATCTATTTGAGAAAAGATATGTTGTTCTTGAGGATCTTCATCTCAATTTTGACATCTTGAAGGTTGTAAAAATCACAATATTTCATTTGATAAGTTCGCAAATGAAAGCTCTTGAGTTAAATCTACTGGTTGTTGATTCTCTATCTCTTTAGCGTCACAAATACACATAAGCTATAAAGAAAGATAGAAGATAGAATGTTATCTTCTTTTGATCTTGTTTTTTTTATAGCAAAGATTTGTTATTCTTCATCTTGGTTTTGATGGATTTTGTTGTTTAAAAGTTTCAACTTTCTTTGTTGCATTAGCGAGATTCTTTGATGGCTCCCATGTGCATTCACTAATATCATATCCGTGCCAATGAATAAAATATTCCAACCTATTTCGGTGCCAACTTGAGTCTAAGACTTCTTCTACCTCAAACTCTTGATTATTATCTACTTCTATAAGAGAAGGTGGAAGCTTAAGGATGAAAATCTAAACTAGTAGGAGGCTAATTGGCAAGGATGAAAGTAAGGCATGGTCGGATGAAGGCAAGGAATGGAGAACTTCATCCCTATTGGTCAAATACCATGCCCAATGGGCTTTGAGGAGGCTTAATAAGGATTTCGGCAACTTCAAAGAAGGCATTTAGAAATTAGAAGCCATGATTGTAAATTTTAGGATTTGGACTACAATTTTTGTACAAAAATTAGAAGATTTGGAAATAGGGTGAAGAAGATATAACCATTTGAAGTTAAGGTATTAATTTAAGACATATTATTACTCTTTTGAAGATATGAGGAGTTTTACAACATATTTTGAAGATTGGAAGGTGCGGCTAGAACAACAATTTTAAGGCCTACATCTTCTATGAAAGAATAATTGCTTTTGGAGTTCATGTGAAGGTATTATAGGGAGTTGAACACAACACTTCTAAATCAAAGGTAGTAAGTGAATGGTTTCATTTTTAGTTATATTTGGAGCCATAAATTGAGTTTTTAGACAAATTTTTGGCTCAAACCTTTTGGAGAATGTAAAATTTTGTGTTAAAAAACTATATATATAAATTTCGTGGCATTTGAACTTATATTTTGTGAGATATAAAAAAAATTGCATATAAGTGTATAAAATTAAGGATTTAAAGCAACTATTAGGGTTTTCAAGTTATATCAAGTTCGACAATGAATTTATGGTTGAAATTTATTGTAGAAGTTAATAAGAATATATTAGTATCTCATGTAAAATTTGAGTTTTTTTGGATGGATGGATTAGAAAATATGAGGTGTTGAAGTTTAGAAAATTTTCTACATAAGGATATATAAGATTTTAGAGGATTTTATCATATTTTGGATGTTGTTGGTTACTTGAGGCTTATGTATTTGGTGTAATTGCTCAAAAAGGGAAATTTCATATATGAAATTGGTCTTTCTTAATTCAAGACTTGATTGAGTAATTAATGACAATGAAGAGCCCAGTGCTTTCTTGAGGCAAATTCTCTTTATGTCGAAACCATGATATTACCTTCCCTTCTATAGACAAGTTCCATGAGGAGCAATCATCATCTTTCATGGATCTTTATAACTCTTTATCTTGGTTTTAATAGATGTCGTTGATGAAAGTCCTTAATCTTCTTTATTGCATTTGCAAGATTCTTTGATGGCTCCTATATACGTTCATTAATATCATATCTACGTCAATGAACAAGATATTCTAACTTATTTTAGTACCGCCTATAGTCTAAGACTTCTTCCACTTTGAATTCTTGATTATTATCTACTTCTATAGGAAGAGGTGGCATTTGTCTTGTTCTCAAAATATTCATTATATAATACAGCTCAAGAATAGGCATGTGAAAAATATGGTGGATCTTCATAGATTCTAATAGATGTAATTGATAATCAATAGGATTGATTTATTTACGAATAGAAAAAGGTCCCAGCCTACAATAGTCCAACTTTTCACAAGGACAAGTAGTCTTGATATCATGACAAAGTAGCCATATCTTATCACCTATCTTAAATTTTGGTTGCTCTTTGCAATAGGCATCCGTGTTGGTCTTTTGCCATCCTTGAACTTCTTTTAATTGTACCTTCATTGTTGCATATAGTTTTGATAAATGATTTGCTAAATCTTTCATCATAAGATTATCAACTTTTGAAAAGTTAAAAGTATCAAGTCACGGATGATAACCATAATTGGTAAAAAAATGTGTTTATTAAATAGAAGAATGTATCAAATTATTGTATGCAAACTTTACCAGTTACAAAAGAGTTGTCCAATTATCTTGATGATAGTTAATGGTACACCTCAAATACTGCTCCAAAATTTGATTTATCCGTTCCATTTGCCTATCAAATTGAGGATGAAAAGCTGAAGAAAGCTTTATATCCACCTTTTGAATCTTGAATAGGATTCTTTAAAATCTTGATACAAATTTAGTCCTCGTATCTAATAAAATATCCTTTAGCAATCCATGATAGCAATAGATATTGTCAATGAAAAACTTAGTTGTTTTTTCACTTGAAATAGATTTTGTACATAGTAAAAAAATATGCCAATTTGGTGAAATGATCTACGATTACGAATATGAAATCATATGAACTTGAGACTAGAAGATCCATGATAAAATCAATAGAAACAGAAGACTATGATTATTCTAGAATAGATAATGGTTGAGGAAGTCCATAAGTTTGATGGCAAGGAGTTTTGGATCTTGAACCAGTATTGCATGATTGTACAAAGTCTTTAACTATCTTTCACATTTGAGGCCAACTAAAATTTCTTGCTATTAGCTTTAAAGTCTTATTGTATCCAAAATATTCGACTATTCAAAAATCATGACAAGCTTGGAAGATATTTTTTGTGTCGACAAATGATCTTGAAATTGAATCTAGATAAAGACATGCTCCAATACACTTGACAATGATGCAAAACATGTGTTGACATGAAGTACTTGAGGTTCTTATGATCTGTATATATAATGAGGGGATTTGAAGCACCTTCTAGATAATGATGTCATTCTTAAAATGAATCCATGATTGCAAAGAGTTCTTTGTCATGGATCTCATAATTAATCTCAAGTACTGAAAATTTCTTAGAATGAAAAGCTATTGAGTGGAGTTTGTCATTTGTTCCCATTTGTGACAAGACAACATCCATAATAAAGTCTGATGCATCTGTTTTCACAAAAAATGCCTTGGAGAACTCGATACAATGTAAGATTGGTGCAAAAGTAAATTCCTTCTTTAAAGTATTAAATGATGCTTCAACTTCTTTATTCTATTCAAGTTTGTCTTTACAAGTCAAACATGTAAGTAGAGGTGGAACTTGAAAAAAGTTCTTATTGAAGATTCGGTAGTAATTAGCAAAGCTCAAAAAGTATTATACATCTCATACTATTTTTAGAATCTTTTAATCTATGATAGTTTGAATTTTTTTAGAATCCATCATAAGGCCTTTATTAAAAATGATGTATCTTAAAAAGTCAACTTGAATAGTGTGGAATACACACTTTTCCAATTTATCATATAATCCTACATCTTTAAATTTATGTAACACATGACAAATATGAAGTTTATGTTCTCTTGAATTCTTAGAGTAGATTAGAATGTTGTCTAAATAGCAAACAATATAATCATCTAGAAATTCACAAAAAACATCATTCATAAAATGTTGAAAAGTGATCAATGCATTCGTGAATCCAAAAAGCATGACATTATATTAAAAATGTCCATACCTAGTTCAAAAAGTAGTCTTCCATTCATCTCCTTCTTTGATATGAATTAAGTTGTATACTCCTTGCAAATCTGTTTTGGTATAGATCTTTACTTGATTAAGTTGGTTAAGAAGTCTTGAAATCAAAGGCAAAGGATATCTATTTTTGATGGTGATCTTATTGAATTCTTGATAATTCATATGCATCTGCAGAGATCCGTCTTTCTTCTTCACAAATAAGATAGAAGTCTCGGCTAAAAATTTAGAATGGCCTATGAAATTCTTTGCCAAGTTTTTATCAATATACTCCTTCAATGCAACCAATTCATTCTGCAATAAGCTATAGATTGGTTCGAATGGTAGTTGAGCTCCTTCTTATAAATCAATTGAACAATCGTAAGGTCAATACTCTGGAAGAATATTTATATTTTTTTTTCAAAAATATCTTGGAATTCTTGATATTAGCTAGGAATACTACTTGACATTTTTCCATCATTAAAAATTGGCATAGCATATATAGCAAAAGATGATCCTTCTTTTGTAGCATGCATGAAAGCTCTTACATCTACCAGTAAAAATTTGGATATACTAGACTTATATACTTCTACTTCACTGACCCGATCTTGAATTATACTAACAAAAAAAATAAGGTTAGAAGAAATCCAATCTATTTGAGGGTTATATTTTTCTAGCCACGATAATCCTAAAATAAATAGATGGGAGGGAGATCATATTACATTAAATACTACTATGTTGTTATGATCTTTAATTGTTACATCTAATGGAAAAATCTCATGGGTAACATTTCTAGAAGACAACGAATAACTATCTATGACTTATACATGTACGGATTTAGTTTTCTTGACTAAAGGTATTTTTTGATTTTTGACAAAAAAAATTTTTATAAAAGAGGCTGAGGCTCTTAAATCTAATAAGGCAAAGACTTTGTGATTTTTAGATCCTAAATATACATCTATTATAAAAAAAAGGTGAGGGGATTGAGGAAAAAATAAGACCTTTACTAGGTATTGCATATGATTCCAGCTAGAAAAACTTATTTTTTGACACATTATCTTCTTTGATAATTATACTCTTTATTTTTTAATTATGTTATTTCTTTGAATAATTTTGAACAATGTACTTAGTTTCTCCACAATATAAATATAAACCCTCTTAGCAATGTTGAGTCTTTTCTTACTTTGTTAAAGGTTTAAAACATATTGTATCAATTTGTATTGGTTCTGGCGTTGATGAATATGTTTCAGAAAACTTGAGAGCTACTGCCATTACTTGACTTGTTCCTCTTTAGCCAAGTCTTTGTTCTTGATGCCTTTTAAATAATCATTTGTCGTATGGAATGGCTTGAGTAATAAATTATTCCAAAGATTTTTTTTTTTTTTTTTTTCTGCATTGTTAATAACAAATCTTTGACGCTATCCTTCAACCCATATTAAAATTATTTAATAAGTGCTTTGTCATTCTAGTCCACATCGCAAATAAGATTTTGGAATTGAGTAGCATATGTGATGGTTGATTGTGATTCTTGTCATAAAAATAAATATTTGGTCTCTACTACTCATTTTCAATTACTTTCTTCAAATGTAGCCATAAAAAATTTTAAAAATGAATTTAAATCATAAAGAAGTCGTGAATCCTTTTCCATCAAAGGTACTAACTAAAAAAATACACTTCTAAATAGAAGTGCACCTATGAAGTCGACTTAACTAAATCCATCCGCGTATTGGAAAGGGTGTAATCTTAAGTAGAGCTTAATTTATTGTAAAAACCCTCAAAATTTTGATCTTGTTCTATCAAACTTCTCGAGCATACTAATTCTTGCCTTTCTTGAGCTTGTAGATGCAAGACCCCCTGAATTTGGTTGTGAGGTTGATTGACTTGTTTCCCTCAACTATACAACTTCTTGACATAGACTTTAGACTTCTTCCATAGATATAGAAGTAGTGCTCTCATGGTTGATATTGGTGATATATGAAATTTTTGCCCTAAGAGTGTTGAGAAGTTTGTGAAGATCTGCAATAGTTGCAAATCTATTCTTGCTACTGCTAGGAATAGCATCCATATTCTTTTCTTCTGTAGACAATTCAAACAAATTCAAAAAGTTAAATTTAAAAAAGATAATCTGCAACTTCTAATAAAAATTTCTATAAAAAGTGGTAATCCACTTTCTTTAAGGAAAAGATCAATGTTAGTAAAAAAGATTTTTTGTTTAAAGGTGGATAGTCCATAATCTTTAAAACACAGCATTAGAAGTTGGATAATTTACTCACTTCTAAAACAAGATCAAAACAATATGTTAGTATTCTTATCAAACTCTCAAGGATATGAATCTCGACAAAAGAAAATCCTTGATACGCTCATGTATCATTGAAAGGAGCTAGAAAGTCACTCAAAGATGATACAATATTGAATTAGAATGGTTATTGCCAAAAACAAGAAGACTAAAAAGTCTTGGAATAAGACTAAGGACTACAAAGGCATTGGTAAGAGTGAAGAAGGCTTCACTCTTGCCTCCATATATACTCTTAATTAGGAGCTACGTCGTGATGTCCTATAGGACCTCCAAATCATATTGACTTTACTAGCTACATGTCTTAACTTGTAAGGCAAGTTATCTATGTATGCACCACATAGTTAACTTGTTCTACAAGTTACTACACAGAGTTAACTTGTTCCACAAACTACCAACATGTGATTAACTTGTTGGCCAAGTTTCTATCCTATAAATACATCTAAAGTCAAAACCACATTTATGAAGCTTCCAAGAAGCTTTTTTAAAAGACTTTGTAAAATTAATTAATAGTTACCTACTTCTACCTAATTATATAAATAACTATTGGGGTAAATGTATATGTTCGTGACATCTTGTCATTACATACATTGGCGCACATTACAACTTATTAAATAAAGACAACCATATTAACTTCTTTCTTGGGAAAACAGTCCTCTGCCAGAGGAAGGTATAGAAGTAGCTATTGCTGTTCTCTCGATAGATACCACTCCCAACCACTACTGGGTAGTAGGCTCAATAGCATCCTGTTCAGCATAGTTCACAAGGAGTGGTGACTTCGTGTTCAAGCCAAGATCACGTGATCAAAGGCAAAGGAAGTGTTGAACTTCCAACGCCAAAAGATGAAATGAAAACAATCAGAGAGGTTTGTTATGTCCCGAGTCTCAGCAGAAACTTGCTCTACATAGGACAAATAACCAATTCCGGAAATCTGGTATTATTTATTGAGTAAACGTATAGTTCTTACAGCTCAGAAGCCGTACCAAACACTCGGGGGTGCCGAATATTTTGACCTTTACGGATGATTCACTCGTGAAACATAGATCTACTTTCTGAAACACAAAAATCAAACCTTCGAGAAGTTTTGTATTGTTAAGAAGCATGTAGAAAACCAAACAGGATGCCGTATATTCACCCTCCGGTCGGACAATGGTGGCGAGTGTAAGTCACTAGAATTCTCTAAATTCTGCGACTTACACGGTATCAACAGGCAGTTTGCCTCGCCCCGTATCCCTCAGCAAAACGGGGTATCAGAGCGTAAGAACAAAACAATACTAGACATGGTAAGAAGCATGCTGTTCGGCGAAAAAGTACCAACCCTCTTATGGGCCGAGGCGGCAAAAACAGTCATCTATCTGCAAAACAAATCACCGGCAAAGGCCAACCTGTGAGTATCTCCGGACAAAAAATTCTTTCAAGTGCGACTAAAACTCAACCATCTCCGAACCTTAAGATGTCTAGCTTACATGCATTTGGACAGAACACAACGGAATAAGCTTGAATCCAGGGCAATCCCGACCATATTTCTTGGATACAATGAAGCGGCAAAAGCCTACCGCGTGTTCAATCCGCATACAAACAAAATAGTCGTGAGCATGTACATAACATTTGACAAAACTTGACACTTCAATGGACCGCTTCAAAATCATGGCTACCAACATGAAGACCAATCTGCGAGTACATGGTCACCTGACCATGAAATGCTACATCCATAACTACCACAAGACCCTACCCCACAAACGACGGATGGTGCCAGTACATCCTTGTTACAATCCGACTCTAAAGCTGACACTAAGGAGGCAACACCCACAGCGACTGTTGCGGCGGCCAACCCAGCATCATCTAGTCCCGATCAGAAACTCACTCTCGGTACACCAACAAGCCGCCCATCTCTGATTAATCTCATTCCCCCGATCTAGCCACTGTTGAGAATAAAGTGAAAAGATGCTCGAACCATATTCGATCCACACACACATGAGACCTTGCAAAAGCTTCTGTTATTTGCATGAAATAGAATGCTACTTGCATTAAATAGAAGATAAAAAATAACACATCTATCTTTTCGTGAATGTGCGTGGGGTCTTAAATGTCACTCACCCTAACGAACTAGTTTAAATCATCATTTGCCTTAAACGGAATTAGTTATATACCCAAATTGCGCGGGTGGGCATGCGAGTGTGTTGGAATGGCGTGCGACGGAAATCTGTTTGTCATCCAACCTAGAAGGTTGTTTTTCAACATCCTCTCTCAAACCACTAGCTCCTGATGTTAGTGGGCTATAATATCAGAAAAACTTTGCGTAATGGGCAGGCTCAATGCTGGGCATTTGAAGCAATCCAATGCAGTTCACGAAGCAAAGAGAAATGATCGAAAGGTAATGCCTTCATGAGCAGATCTGCCAATTGTGCAATGGTATTGACATACTGAATGTTGATATCGCCCAAACGTTGGTACTCACATATAAAGTAATAAACTACATCGATGTGCTTTGTTTGATGGTGAAACTCAAGGTTGTGCACAAGTCGAATTGCACTCTCGTTGTCGGAGAGGAGGCGCGTGGCTTGGCTCTGCTTGTAATGCAGATTTGCAAGGAGCATGCGGTGCCATATGATATCCTTTGTAGTGGATCCTGCTGCCACATATTCGGATTCGGTAGTGCAAATAGAAACACAATTTTGCTTTCTAATATACCAGTAGATGGGTGTCTCGTTTAGCAAGAGTAGCGTCCTTGTGCACGACTTTTGATCTGTGATGTCTCCAGCATAGTTCGCGTTTCCATATCCCTCGAGCAACATTGTTTTGGCTGTGCTGCTGAAACACAATGCAAGATGGAGAGTGCCTGCGAGGTAACGAAAGATCTGTGCTACAGCTTGGTACTATTGGCGTTGTGGGCTTGCAGAAAATTGCACTACAATGCTCACCACTAGATCCCAATAGTGCTTCTACCTACTTTGCCTTCTAAAGTGAGTTGATTGATTCTCTTTCACTTCTGCATGCTTTAGTAGAGAGCATCCACTAATGTCTTGAGGACAACATTGTTCAGTGGTAAGGGAGATGGGCAGCAGCCGCTTCAAGGCTTTTGGGGGCTGTAATCGACTTGGAGGATCCTTGCATGTTGGCCTTCCCTGTTCTAGATTCCATTGTGCTTGCTGAAGATTTCGTCATATCTGCCGAGTTCAAATTTGTATCATCACATCTGTTGTGTGCGTCTCTTGCCGTAGCAATGTGAGCTTGGGCGGCTTGACATTTGACTTTAAGATCCAGTTTGTATAATTTGTTAATTCGAATTCCTGTTAAAACAATCTTTTCCCACCCTTCGAGACTTGTGAGGTAGCATGTGCGGTAGGTGTATGTAGTAATGAAACCTTTGTCGGCTGCTTGCCCTACAGAGAAGAGATTTTTTCGTAGTTTTGAGATGTAGAAGACACGGTGGATGTGCTGTAGCTTCCACGCATCCTTGAGCTTACATTGTAAGTGGATCCAGTCAATACCTCGAACCCAGAGTCATCTATTGTTGACGATCATCACGGGCCATTGCCCTTGGGATACAATTTTTAGCGAGACAAATTAATCTAGACGGTCTGACATGTGGTCTATCGCACCTCCGTCCATGTACCAAGTGTCAGAGTCGTCCACGGGTTTGTTAGTATGCGCCATGATCGTCGTGCTGTCATCCTCGTCAAAGTCTTCAGTGATGGCAGCGTTTGCCTTGCATTTCTTTACGCCGTTATTTTTGTTTATCTTAAATGATCTGTTAATGTTGTTGTTGGGGCATTCGCTCTTCCAATGTCCCCTCTTTGTACATTTTCGGCACTTGGTTTTCTTCTTAAGTTCTGCAATCCTAACAAATAGGCTTTTGCTCTCTACTGCGCTTAGAGAGGAAAAATTGAAAGTATAATCAATTCCACCATTTCTTGATCATACCAAGTGGTTTACAACTTCCTTGGTTTATAACTTCCTTGGTTTGCCATCTTGAGGTTGAAAATAGAGGGGTGTGTAATTTGGAGTCCCAACTTTTGCATTGTGGATAAAGGCGTAGATAAAGGCATGATATTGACATTGCTACCATCATCTACAATAATACCCTATATGAATTTATCTGCAATCTCTACTTCTATTTCAAATACATCATAATTTTCTTCTAAATTAAGCAATTCTAGATTTTCTTCTTTAATCCTTCGAGACTCTCTAAACTTCTTAGATTGCCTTAGCACTATGGCATCTTCTTTCAATTGTTTCTGCAATGAAGGCATTAATTGGATGAACTATCCAAAAGATATATTTGTCTTTGCACAAGCTAGGTCTTTCCATAAATCAAAAGGATTTGCTCGATTGTTCACCTTAGATTTTTTTTATTTTAGTCTTTGATTTGAGGGGTACTTAGAAATCATTGTTATTCACAAATTAAAATTTATCATCATTGGATAGTTCCATCCCATATGCATCTCCTAATTGCACATCCTTAGCTATTTCTTTTGTAGTCTTATTGAATTCTTAGAAGTGATTCTTTTGATGAAAATGGAGATTCTAGGTTTTTCACTTCTTCATTTGATTCTAAGGGAGTAGTTCTAGTACCTCCTTGTATAACCACCAAAGTTGGTAAGTGCAATTTTGATAATAAATTCTCAATTTGCACTGCAATTACTAAATTGGCACCTTGTATTGGCAATTTTTGTGGCTCCATAGAACAATTATCTAGAGAGTTTTATCCATGTGACAAAGGAACCACACCTTGCAAAGTTTGCACAACTATTGGTGGATGATATATTTGTCTATTATTCTCTCTATCATAATATTGATTAGACAGCCTTTTTGGTTGCAATTCAGGCCTTAATTACCTTATATCGTGCAAATTTTTTGCCGCTTGCCTTACAAAATCTCTCCTTGGTAGTTGTAATGGAATGACCTTATTAGGTCTTGTATACCGGTCTAATGGATGAATTCCTCCACTATTAGAGCACTTAATCCCATTTTCTATCCAACATGTACTAAGAATATGGAATTTTTCATATATTCTACATAGTGGATATCTCTGTTTTTGTAGCTAAGAAGCCCTTTTGCCTTGGTGAAGATGTGGACGCCTACAAGGTTGTACTAATTAACTAACTTGCCTTACATCTTGAGATTGCCAAGCATAAGGACAATTTTGCATTGAATGACCTTATTGATTGCAACTTGGATATTATAATCCTATTATATGACCTCCCGATTCATATTGAAAAAGGTAGAGGGCTTCTTCCATCCTTCATCAAGTATGAAATCTACTTTCTTAGATTTTCTATGGCCTTAAGTATTCTATCTTCTCGTGCTTCCTTAGCCTTTTCAATATCTCATCTCTTTGAAATTACTATAAGATTGTAAGGAATAGACACTGAAAGAGGAGGTTCTTTTGAAGCCAAAGTTTGTACATAATTAAGTTGTGGCACCTGTGGATATGCATATTGGCCATATCTTGAATCTCTCATGGCATTTTGTGCATGGACTGGATGAGGATCATATCTTATTAGAAGGTAGCTAGAAATTGGATCTTTCCTTCGACCTTTAACCCTTTCATTTTTTTAATTTAATTTCTTCAATTAATAGGACAACTTGTATTACATGATCCAATGTTTGTGGCCTATGAATTCAAATCTCTTCAAATACTGAAGACCGATCTAATCCTTTGACAAAGTAATATCTTATGATAGTATTATGGAGCAAATTATCAATAATTCTACTACAAATTTCTTTAAAATACCTCACATATGCCAAAATCTCCTCTGTGGAATGCTGGCATGTCCTCGTTAGAGTAACAATTGCTTGTTGTTGTATCTTTTGAGGCTAAAATTAATCTAAAAATGAAATCAACAACTCATTCTACATCTTGAATATTTGTGCATTGTAAGACCTATACCATGCATCTGTACCTTCTTCCAATGTGGTAGAAAACCAAATCAAATAATAGCCATTATTGAATACCATGTAAGAGGTTATCATCTCTAAAAATCTTTCTATATGGGCTGTAGGATCTTCATCTCTAGAGCCTATGAATTGTGGTAAATTGAGAGGCATTGTCCTTTCAAGAGGTCTTCGAGGCACCACTATAGGTAGTCCTCAAGGTAGCATCATTGGTTGAGAAAGGTGAGATGGTATAGTAGTTGATATAGTGGGTAGAATAACTGAAGCTTGCTCCAAGTTAATTACCACATTCACTAGTAGAATTATAGATGTGTGTGATGGTTCAGCTTGTTGCATAAAAATTAGGATATGTAGTTGAGTACATATATGAGGCTGTACTTCTCTACTTGCCATTCTCGATGAATCTACTTTAAGTCCTTATTTCTAATTCCATTAAGTCTTGATTCTTTTATTGTAGAGTTACTATTCATCTAGTAAGTCTTCATATTGATCTTATTGCCGAAGTAGTTAGATTTATCTTTGGCATCTAAGGCCTTTAAGTTCATCAAGGTTGTACTTGGATGTATTGAAGTAAAATAGAAGATGGTAAAGATTAAGGCCTTGCTTAATCCTTAATGATAAACTACTTCAGAGGAAAAAGAAGGTCCAACCTTGTTCCATACGTAGTCACCTAAGCATTCTCCATTGCTTACTAGATAATGTCTAAAGAATAAAAGAAGATTGCCAAGGGATTTATATTAGCCCACTTGATGATGGAATAAATCACACTTTTTTTGATATATCCACTTTCATAGGCATAATAAAATGAAAAATTAACTTGGTAAGTTTTTTTTTAAAATTAATATAAAATAAAATCAAACAACTATAAAGGAATTAAACAAGAAGGGTTATTTGAAATGTACCCTCACAAAGATCAAAGACCACCATTTACTCCACTTCAATGCAACCTTGACAACACCAAGAATGCAACATAAGACATTCAATAGAAGTAGAATAAGAATAATTAAAACAACCATATAAGCTAATGTATATCACTCACAATAAGTCAAAACCAACAAATATCCACTTAAAGACAACTTTATACATAAAAATCAATCAACATCAAACAAATAAGATAAAAACAAACAATAATTGCCACC